GAAGGGACAGTTCTTGTAGAAATTAATTAATATCATACATATGATCTGCACAAAATATATCTAGAATAATAATAATAGTAGTATTATTTTGTATTAGAACATTAAAATGAATTAAATAAAATGTAAATGAATTATATCATCTGAAGTATAATGCAAACAAAAGTCATGCTAGTAGATAAAACCGAATAGAGAAAAAGCATGCAAATAAATAAAATGACTTGAATCATTGCTTGATTATGATGAATTTTATTCATTATTGTTCGTAGTGGTTAATAAGTTCTTTGTGAATATTTCTTATGTATTATTAGTTTGAACATTAGTAGTAACAGATTTCTTGTTTTGTTTTCGTCGTTCTAAGTAAAAGACATTCAAACTTAGATATCTATTAAGATAATCATTTACCTAACATTTTCTTGTATTTATTTTGTATTTGTTTACATTGTAGTAGTGATCGTTTTGGACGTTTTCGTATAAGTTCATTTTTTGCATTACGACGATTACGATTGCCTACAATTAATCGAAGATCCATAGCTGGTGTATTTTTGAAGACGTTCTGATAGGCCCGATGCATGTTTCTTTTAAATGGTTCAAATCGTTTTTCATGTGTATATTGAAGGAATAATCGATCTGCATAATTCATTGGCTTTTTCTGAATCTTTGCGACCCAGTCTCGCGATGTAGTTTCTGCAGTAACATCAGTTTGATCGTTATCAACATCAGCTGTAGCTGCTCTTGATGCTGTTTGTGCTTGTGAGGGTGATGGTTGATCGAGTATTTCGTGACATAATAGAATATATTGTTGTTCATTTTCAATAAATGATAGAATTGATGTTGCATAAATAAATTCATTGAAAAAGTTATGAAATTATTGATCACTAAAAATGAACATCATTTAAATAAAAAATAAACTGACACTTACCCATTATATAATAACATTAACTTGATAGAACGTCGTTCATAATTAAATGTTTCGAATGTTGATGAATATCGCACAGCTCTTGTAAGAAGTGTTTGTATAATATTAACAAATACATGTCGAGGATGATCCGAACAAAATGGTATGACGTATGGTTCAGCATTTGATTTATGATAAACTCATGTTGAAAGAATACCATTGTTATTTGTTAATAGAACATCAAGAAATGGAAGACTTTGACTTATTTTATAATCTAATTTAATATTTGGATGCCATTGATTTACTTCATTTAATAATATTTTCAATTCATGTTCAGATCTATTCCATGTCATAAAAATATCATCGATGTATCTGAATAGAAAATGAAGGACAAATATAATTCCTTTCATTTTAGACTACTTACCTTCCATAGAATTCACAAGTAATATCTTGTTGACGAACTAATCATCTTTACCATTTCCATATAAATATATTCGCTAAAGTTAAAGTGAATGATGAACCCATGGCACCACCTGTAGTTTGTTGGTAGAGTTTATTGTCATAAACGAAAACATTCTCTTTTAATACAATAGAAGCCAATTTTCGAATTGAATCAAGTACAATTCCTTTCACTTTTCTATAACCATGTAGATGAAGAAATTCCACTAGAATATTTAATGCTTCTTCTTGTGGTAACATTATATATAAATTACGAATATCAAATGTACAAAAAAGTGTTGATGGTTTCATTAGACCTTTGTTTGCATACGTTTTTATTGCAGTAATTAGATGAGCACCATCAATAATTGTTGTTTTCGTACATTTATCATCGGATATTGGGCGTAGAATTTTATCTAAAAATTTCGAAATATTGGTTGTTGGTGCGCGAATTGTATTTTCAATGGGTCGAAGTGGAATACCATCCTAATTCAATACAATAAAATGAAACATCATAATATAAAACATCTATTTTACGTTGTGTGTTTTTGGGTTGAAATATAAATGAGCCAATTCAGTTGTTTTTCGATCAGGTATCATCTCATTGTATTGCCATTGCAAGATAAGTTTTTTT